CTGGATCCTCATAATAAACTAAAGCAAACGAAAATTCTGAGAACTCTTACACATGAATAAACAAAGAAAAAAGGGGTTTATATCTTATACTTTACATATTCATACTGGATTTCACGACTTTACCAGAGTAAATAAACAAATAATAAAAATCTTTTAGCTTAAGAGCTATTGTTTTCGTGGAATTTTAGGATTAATATTAACAAGAATGTACATTTTTCTCTAATCCTTAACACATCAAACCTGAAGATAAAATTTTAATAGTACAAATAACGTTCAAGAATTGTAACAAAGGAAATGACTTAATATAAAATGAATGTATCACCGGCGAACCTTCAACCACAAGCCAAGAAAATAACTGAACTATCCTCGATATTACTAACGAACAAAGATTAAACAAAGACGTCAAACATATCTCAATGAATCTAATACTAAAAAGTCTTCAAAACTCAACAAAATTCTATCTTAAACTCTCATAACCAAATTTCAATCACGCAATAAATAAAATTAAACTAATGAATTTCAATCTCAAGAATTCTTCACCAACACAAAAAAAAAATTTTTTTTAGCGCAGCCCCACGTCGGGCGCCATTTGTAACGTTATTTTTCTGCCCCCTAAAGGGTGTACTCCATAACGCACCTTTCTTCAGGTAGGAATCCTGATTAGAACTATCCCTGGGAGACGACAACTACTTTACTTAGGGCGTCAAGTTATTTTTATTCACTAGAATAACTAAACCATTGTAACTTAAACGAGTACAAACTTAAATCTAAACTCGATATCTCAAAACTTACTAACTAACTCAAAACACTCTCAACCCAATACTTAAAATTAAACCTCAAACTTATATCTAACTTAACTAAGATGGTTCGACAAAATCAGGGTCCTCCTGAACAGGGCATGTCCTGGCCCTCAGTTGTGTAGGTTATGGAGAGGAATCATGTCCGGCCAACAAATTATAAATAAATAAAAGAAATAAAAAAACAAATTAAATAAAATAACTAACGGGATGAGTTCAAGGTACCCAAACTACAAGAAATAAATTAACAGGTTCACATATTTTTAATTCTTGAATTTATTTAAATAATTCTACTCAATTAGACTTTCTTAACACTTACGGGAACTCACAACAGTATTATCTCAATACCCTCCATCAAATAATCGACTAACATTATGACAAACTTCAAACTAAAACAATAAAACTTTAACATATTACAATTTCTGGAGCTCAAATAAATCTGACATAAACTAACTAAAGAGTATTTCTTAACAAGCGGTTTCTCGATCAATCATAACTCAAAATACTAAACTTAAAACGTAATATTTTAATATTTTAACAAATAGACAAATCTTCAAATTAAATTAACTAAAATCATTCATAATATTCTGGATTAAAATCTACAATTAAACTTAACCTAACGATTCCGAGAGCAAACCAAGCCTCATGGATTTTCTTTTATTCAACAAAATATTTTCAACTTACTACAAATTTACCTTTTAACCCAATTGAAAACTGATTCTCAAGAACTTACAATTTCCGTAGAGAGCTTTCGATATTCTAGCTTTTGTCAAACCCAGTCCTGGACTTCCTTCTTCTTGAAGTGAGGATTGATGTGTCTGATCTTCATTCTCCTTACTGGAGTCTTCTCTTGTCTTCTCTCTCGACATGATGGTAACGCTTAACTGTCCATGAGCTCAGCTTACACTCGACTCTCCATAGGCACAGCTCGCCATCAACAACCTTCCAAAAACTATTTCTCCAAAATCCTTAATCTTCAATTTCTTCATTCTCTTGATTGTCTTCTCCCTTTCAATTTGTCAAAACATATTTCTTATCGGTGGCTATCTTCACGTGACTTCGCCCAGATTTTCATATAGAGGGGTTACTTAAACTAATGTGCACCAAAACTTAATCCTACAACCTCTTCTACACTTCCATCTTTTCCTTGGAGTTCCATTTTCTGGCAACAGCCTCGTTAAATAACTACATTTTCTTTGTAATTCTTACTAAGTGGGCTCTTATTAGCCTCAAAACTCTCATTAAAATATTGCTAGAGCTAGCAATGGAACGTTATCCAAAAAAATAACGTCACAGTATTTGTGCAGTCAGTTATTAAAGAAATCCAGAAAACAACTAAATATAAAAAAACAATGATTGTGATAGTAATTTTATTGAAAAACAAATCGATATTTTGTCAATGAAGGTATTCCAAAAATAACAATGTAATTTATGTTCCAATTTCAATCCCTATTAATGTTTATTTCACCTTTTTGCAAATGTTTAATGGCATTGTAAATTTTCACGTTTAAAAATTCAACCTCACTATCGGTAGTTCGCTTACTCTGATAGACTGCATACTGCCGGTAGTCAGCATTTGATAGTTCATTCTAATAATTTGGAACATTGCTCTCTTAAATATCTTCACTTTTTACGCTATTTAATATGCTGTATACTGTGACAGTAAGTATCTACTTGATTACATTTCGGCTCATAGTAATTGTTCGATATATTTAACGAAATGTTTAATTTTAGAATTTAAGGATAAAAAATATCCTGGCCTCACTATCGGTAGTTTGCTTACATCTGATAGACTGCATACTCCCGGTAGTCAGCATTTGATAGTTCATTCTGATAATTGAGAACATATAGTCTTTACAGTTAAAAGTATAGTAACTCATGATGGATACTTTTTTGATATAAGTGAATGATATTATAGTCATTTTACGAATGTATTACATGAATATGAGGCTTTAATGTTATGTGAGTGTTCTGACTTGGAGGGCCCCAAGTCAGCAAGTCTCAGAATATTTGAAAATTGTTAATGCCGGACTTGTCCACCGGCGCGTCAGTCAACTCACTGGACCAATCATCGGGAAGTATTTCCCTCATGGCCCAGAAGGCAACTCTACGGCCCTAGTGACGCCAACAAGCACGCGGTCGAGCACTTGTGGTGTCAGTTAGCTTCAGGCAAATCACGCGCTCAACTCCGTAGAAATTTACGCAGTCAATTCACAGTTTTTGCAGTCAGCTCATCCTTTTTCGAGAACAAATACGATCAATCAGACTCAGACTACTCTAGTGAACAGTACTAAACCATCAAGATTACTCTTATCAGTGCCAGTGGTCCAGTATAGTCAGTTGTAGTGTCTTTGGGCGCGAAGCTGAACTGGCGTCGACGCCATAGTGCCTCACGGACATTCACATATACATCGCACACCCGAACAACTCTGGTGTATACTGTGAATGTTGCTATTCACTGTTTTGAGACTTTTTTTGGTGACAAAATAACCATCAGACAATTCAGAAGTGTATGAACAATTAATGTACAGTCAATTCACCTAAACTCAGTGATTAAGAATTTCTATTGTTTAAGTTAAGTGTTATTTGTTAATAAAAGCGATAAAAACCATACAATTTTGTTGTTTAAAAACTATTTTCAGGAACCTTCTAGCATCCAACCTGTTTTTTTGTGTCGTGGTTTATCATTACAGTCCATTAAGTTTAGTTTTTTCGTCCGGTCGACTCGAAGTCAGAACAGTAAGCGAATCAAATTACTCAAGTTATCAATATGGAGGCCAATATGGCATCATTAAATTCAATATGGTCGCTCATGTCTCTTTTATAGTAGGGTAGGATAGGAAAGAGAATAGACGACAAGTAAGTATATTATCTATTTTGGACATTTAAAAAATCTAATAATGTTCAAGAGTTGTAGTATGGTATCGCCAAAACATTTTATCACAATGTTTTTTTTTTCAGTGTATTATATGGGCCGTTTCATTTTCATCGATCGGAAAGATAATAATGCGTATATTACTGCTTTTGTTGGCTCAGGTATTCATCCAATCATATGAGTATTATATATCATAGGTGGTTAAATAGTATTTTCTTCTATAGTATGATTGTTTTTATTTTTTCAACAGATGCCAGATTCTCTGTCCAAACTCTACTTGATAAGGTATGTAAATCAAAATGAAGCAAGTGGCTTTATTTTTATTTTTGTTTGAGAACCTTTTTTTATTTTCTACTTATTGTAATAGTAACTATGTTAAATATATGTTATAGAATTACAAGCTTTTACATCAAGATGAACTCATTGGTAACTCAATTCGTGCAGATACTGCTCAATGATACTGCAGAAAAAAAGTCAAAAAAATCACGATATATAGTATGAAATGAAATATTCTTTCCGTTTTTTGGAAATATTATTCATTTTGAAATAGTTTCAAACGAAACTCATCTATAATCATTGTGGTTTATATATTATTTAAAATTACACATTTCTTATCAATTTTATGCAATATTTACTAAATTACACTTATCTATGTAATTTACTACAACTGCACATCGTTATCAATCAATAAATTTCTTCTTGTGTTGAGAGTGTACTTAATCAAGAAGCAAAAGAGAAATTTATGTGTAATATTTTGATTGGATTGTTTCAAATTTATTTGATATTTAATTATAATGAATTCTTACTTTTATCTATAGAATTTATTATTGTTTTGCGAGAACCGAAAATTATTGATTGAGTTCATTTATTTAGAGCTAAAAGATCGATAGCGATCGAGCTACGCCGTAGGATGTGATCAGGAAAGGTGCACTCACACAATAGACACTTTTCTTAAGCTTATTATCAGGTTTATTACAAAAATAAATTATTTATTAAGTTAACAATTACTTATTAATAATTTACGAGCTTAACTGAACTTTACTTTAACAGAATTGAATTCATCAAGAGCTTGAAATGATTAGGATTTGCAATATAGGAACGAGCGATAATCGAGCAAGTGTACTTGAGCTTCGCTTGAGCGTTAATTGCTGCAAACACGTTGTGGGTAGACCTAGAACAATGATAGAGCAACTGTCATTGGCTAGATTGGAGAAGAAGAGCTAGGATTCACCGAGCGCTGAAACAAGAGCTAGGATAGGGCGAGCGGATTGGGTGAGCTCGACTGAGCACGAGCGGGGACGAGAGTGAGTCCAACTGACAGTTTGCATTTAACCTCTCGCAACATACTCCCCGTCTACCGCAACGTCCTTGCGGTACTTGTCCGCTGGTAGAACAATGAGCTTGGTGATTGGTCTGGTGAAGGTGGTCTTTGAAGTCTTGATTGAGACCACCCGAATGAGTCCATCTTGTCCAGGATGAACACCGATGACTCGAGCTAAAGGCCATTGAGCTGGAGGGAGGTTATCCTTAATGGATAGAAGTAGAAAGCCGACTGCAATATCATAAGCTGCTCTTCTCCACTTAGAGACTGAGAGATATTCTTGTAAGCACTCTTTGGACCACTGCTTCCAAAAGTGTGGAAGCTTTTGTTGTATTAACTCCCATAGAGTAAATCGTGATTCAGGGAGATGAGTTTGAGCAACTTCAGGAAGAACTCCTTGAGATGTTCCATGAAGGAAGTGAGCTGGGGTCAGTGCTCGTAGATCATCGGCATCATCACTGCGCAGCGAGAGCGGTCGAGAATTTGAAACTGCCTCTATTTGAGCTATTAGAGTGGTGAAGTCTTCATAGGTCAGTAAAGTTGTCTTTAGAATCCTTACTAGGTGAATCTTCACCGACTTAACAGCTGCTTTCCACTTTTCACCAAAGTGAGGAGCACTGGGAGATGAGTAGATCCATCTTGTCCCAACCTGAGCTAATAAGCTGACGAGCTAAGCGTTTTTTGATGAGCTTTGACGAAAGAGATCTTTCAGGAAGGAATCAGCTCCCTTGAAGTTGGTTCTACAGTCGCTATAGAGCACTGAGCTTGCCCCTCGACGACTAACAAAGCGTCGGTAGGCTTTAATGAATGCTTCTGTGGAGTAGTCTGACACCAATTCCAAGTGAACAGCTGAGATCACGAAGCAGACAAGAACAGCTATCCAGCCTTTGTATGTTTTTGCGCCTCTTTCCTGGAACGTCTTGAGCGTGAAGGGACCAGCATAGTCTACCGCAGTAGTGTGAAATGGTCGAACTGGTACCACACGATCAGCTGGGAGCTGGCCCATGAGCTGTTGAGCACGTCGAGCGCGATATCGAGCACAGATCACGCATCTCAGGATAAATGACCGAATAGGAGCTCTTCCTCCTAAGATCCAAAACTTTTCTCGAACATGAATGAGAGTAACTTGAGTTCCTTCATGGAGCGTTCGTCGATGAGCTTGATCAATAACGAGCTGTGAAAAGTAGGATTTTCCGGGGAGTATAATCGGATGGATTTCATCTTCTTCGAGTTCAGAGTTTGTTGGGCGACCACCAACACGAAGTATACCTTCTTGATCAGCGAATGCTGCGAGCTTAGAGACAAAGTGCGATGATGGTAATTGCAGCCCATCTCGCAGAGCTTTTAGATGGATGACTAAGAATCCATATTAGTGCTACAGATGAATCAGTCCATAGATAGATAGGAGCTTGAGCTAATTCGAGCACTTCTTGAGCATGTTTCACGAGTTTTGAGAGCATCCAAGCAGCAGTTAGTTCGAGCCGAGGAATTGTAACTGGTTTTAATGGTGCTACCTTAGTTTTAGCACACAAGAGCTGGATCTGAGCTGATTCGTTTGAGTTCTGAACTTTAATATAAATGCATGCAGCCATGGCTAACTGTGATGCATCTGAGAAGCCATGTATTTCTATGTATGAGCTGGAGATCGTGTTGAGTCATCTAGGGATGTGAACATGAGCGAGATATGGTAACTCGTCTCGTAGGTGCGTCCACCGTTGAGAGAGCTGAGCAGGAAGTTCATCATCCCATCCTGATTTGTTTAACCAGAGCTCTTGAATGAACATTTTTGCTCGAACTATTACTGGAGCTAAGAATCCGAGCGTATCAAAGAGCTGAGCTACTTCAGAGAGCACTGAGCGTTTCGTGAGTTTCTTGAGCGTTGAGCTTTTCGGTGAGAAGATAAATTGATCAGATGCAGGACTCCAAGATAGTCCAAGCAGGATATTTTATGCCTTCATCTTCTATTAGTTGAAGGAGAACTCGTACAGCAAGAAATGGAGCTGGCCTGGTACCATAGGTAACCGTGGTGAGCTGATATGGAACTATATTGTTATGTTCATCGAGCCAAAGAATCCTCTGGAGATCCCAATCTGCTGGATGAACGTTTATCTATCGAAACATCTTCGTTATATCAGAGCTAAAGATAATTTTGTGTCGTCTAATCCATAACGAGACGTCGAAGATGTCGACTTGGAGCTTGGCACCAGTATGAAGAACATCATTGAGCGAGAAACTAGAGCTGGTCTGAGCTGATCCATTGAAGACGACTCTCAACTTTGTAGTAAGACTCTGCTCATGTAGAACTCCATGATGAGGCAAAGAAAAATGAGGCAGACCATTGGGTTGCACCGATGACCCCTCTACCGAGACCCTCAACCCTCCTGATACCGAAGTATCATGTGCCAAGGTCATCTCATTCGAGCGATCACCAGATACAATACCTGGACTTCCTCTTGAGCTTGATTGTACTCCTGGAGCACGCCTCATATGTCCTAGAGCTTGATATTCGTTCATAAATTGCGTGTAGAGCTGATTGAGCTTCGAGTCATTTGAGAGTCGCTTGAGCATTGATCGAAGACATTTGAGAGCTAAGGTTTTGGATTCTCCAAGAGCTGGTGGTGATGGAACTATTGGAAGTCTCACCACATATCTTCCGGTTGCATCCCTGAAGTGAGTTTTGATGAAATGAGCTTCACAATGTTCTTCATCTGGACTGAGCTTAGAAGAATGAGCTCGAGCTGTCTCTTCTTGAACCTAAAACTTGGATAGTAGTTCATGAAGGTCGTGATCCTGCTTCACGTGAAGAGCTGGACTTGTTAGAGATGGTGAGTTTGACTTAGTTGCACCGAAGACGATCCAACCAAAAATAGTCTTGAGAGCTGTGGGATCTAAGGCGTGACCTCGTCTGAGCTCCGAGCGAATGATTTGAGCTAGTGGTATAGAGCCCAGAGAGACATTAATGGTCCCTGGCGTTCTATACTGAGGATCTGCGAGCTGTAAGCCTTTGAGATGAGACCACGATGAGCTGTCGATGTTGTAGGTAGGCAAGACTGTTGTTGACGTGAACAGGAACTTGTATTTGGTCGTCTGAGTAGAGCGATTTAAGCGTAATGATGCTTAGACCCCGTGGGATTGCAGGATTGATGATCGTTGTTTTGGGAGCTGGAGTTGACGAGCTAACTTATTCGTTATGAAAGAGAGCTGTGATCCTTGAACTTGTTCAGCAGCTGGAGGATCACAAGAACTAGTAGAGCAAGATAGAGCTACTGAAGAGCTTATCGGAAGACCAAAGGTCGAGCTTAGAGATGATTCTGGAGCAGGAGCTGCACTGGAGCATAAATCAGGAGCTGGTGGAGAGCTGCGTGTTGAGTTAAGCTGTTGAGCTGAGCTAGAACGTGAATCAAGAGCTAGTGGAGAGCTGAGCTGGAGCACGAATCAAGAGCTGGTAGAGAGCTCGGCGGTGAGCAGAGCTGTTGAACTAACAAGGGAGAGCCACTTTGAGCTAACAAAAAAAGAAACAAAAATTAATTCTTGAGCATGACTGTCAAGTTTAATTGGAGCTTATCAACCTGATGTGGTTGGAGGTTGTTGAGCTGGAGTTGGATCGGATGAGCTTGAGCTGGTTGGAGCTGCAGGAATGGGAACCGAGCTGATTTGAGTAGCCTCGCCTTGATGTATTGTGGTATGATGCTTCATACCACAATGACGGCAACGCTTCTCGCTCTGGCAAGCCTTGACATCATGTCTGCCAAGGCAATTGCTGCAGAGCCGATACTCCATTGCTAGCTTGAGCCTGTTGAGTAGAGAGAGTTTCCGATAGTCTGGACAGCTGGCGATGAAGTGGTCTGTGCTGTCACAATAATCACAGACGTGGCCCGGATCGGTTGGACCTCTGTACCCCGCCATCTAGGGTCTGAGCTTGTTGGCCGAGCTTTGCTGAGCTGCTGGCTTTGCACTAAAGCCACGTCGTTGAGCTTGATCTGATAGAGCTTGAGTTGCAGGAGCTGGAGATTGGGCTTGAGCGGTGGCAGCATATGACCGAGCTGTTGGTTTCTTGAGTTGAGCTCAATACTCTCAAGAGAAATGGCTTCAGAAGTTAACTCCTGAAGCGAGCTTCGCGATGGATAGGCAGTGTTGGAGCCGAGCGTTCTCTCCCATTCTCTTCTGATGGACGGATCGAGCCGACGAACTAAGTGGTAGACAAGTGGCATGTCCCACTTGTCAACTTCGGCATCTAGAGCTTTTAGCGAATCGAGAGCTTCTCGAACACCATTGAGCAAGTCGTGGAGGCCCTTAGATGTTGGTTCTACCACTGAGCTGTCGCCGAAGAACTTGTCGAGCTGTGTTGATAGCAAGAGCCTTTTGTTCTCGTAGCGAGACGTGTGCAGGTTCCACGCGATGGCGTAGTTGTCATTGGTGGTCCTTAAGTTCTAGAGAAGCCGAGCGGCGTCACCCTGAACTGAAGTATTTCCCACTGAAGGGTTTGATCTTGATTTTCTCAAAGAGATGAGCACCAGGTGAGCGAGATGTATGAGCTTCAGGAGAGCTTGATGATGATTGAGCTTGACGGAGAGAGCTGATGAGGTTGGTCAAGATTGACCGAGCTCCGTCATAGACCTCTAACGTTACAAGATAAACCTTCTTTTTCTTGTACGAGGAGTTAAGATAGAGCTGAGAGCATTTTGTAGCGAGGTCATTGTTTAGTTGGCTAAACAACTGCCACGTCTCCTCAAGAACATCAAGAGCTCTAAAAAGAATTTCCTTTCTTTCATCTTGAAGAGCTAGTTGAGCTGTGAAGTGAAGCTCGACGTCAGCCTCGAGCACTGATACGTTGGTCATTATAAATGACGAGCTTAGAATCTTCGAGCACTAGCACAAAAACTCACTTTTCTGTTCACTAGCACCAAAGACCCTTACAAAAAATGTAAATAAGTTCACAGTGTTTATGAGAAGTCCTAAAGTTAGTCATTTCTGAGCACCGCACTGAACTAAACTCACGACCAATGAGTGCGAGCCAGAGAGCTTCTAAAGTTAATGAGCGCGATCGCCAGAACAAAGAAAATATCCTTTTTACGAGCACTTTTCACTTCACTGCTGACCACATCCGGCTCGAAGGACCTAATGGTTTTGCGAGAACCGAAAATTATTGATTGAGTTCATTTATTTAGAGCTAAAAGATCAATAGCTATCGAGCTACGCCGTAGGATGTGGTCAGGAGAGGTGCACTCACACGAAAGACTCTTTTCTTAAGCTTATTATCAGGTTTATTACAAAAATAAATTATTCATTAATATTCCACGAGCTGGGACGAGAGTGAGTCCAACTGACGGGTTGCGATTAACCTCTCGCAACAATTATATTTATTCCATCAGTCTACCTGTAATCGTCTCTGTTGATTTGAGACTTGATTATTATATTACTTATTCTCTAGTAAATCATTTTTGTACTCCGAACAGAAATAATAATTTCAATAATTAAGCCTTCTTCAATTTAAAAGAGCGAGCTACAGGGAGTGTGCTGAGTACGCGTAGTTGACGCGTGTAGCTTTACTTGAAGCCCGCACTTCTAAGATGTGAAGTTAGTCAATAATCGAAATCTCCTTTCCTAAAAAATTGTAAAAAAAGTAAATTTGAAATTTTTTTTAGGGTTATCTAGAGTAGCGCGGTCGATACGGCGCCATATTTCATTATTAGTTGAAGCAGACACACAATATTATCATTATACGGTTATGATTCTTTCAAAAAATGAAGCCTGTAAGTATATAACTTTGACTGCAGTAAATAAACACGTTTAATGTAAAGTTAAATAATAAAGATACCCTATTATCCGTGGAATTTTCTATATAAAATGGACATTGAAGAATATTATAATGGATGGACGATATCTACTAATTCTTTGCATGGGGAGGAGAACATTTTGGTAAGGGTTTTTTGAATAATTCATCAATAATAATAAGCAATGTAGAAAAGTTGCTGTAGTTGACCTACTTTCGGTCATAAGCTTACATTTGGTAAAGCAAAAAAAATATTTCTTCTCTACATTTTCTATCGGTTGTTTTTTTCAAATGCAATGCATACAATAGTTTATGTAGTTGAAGACGCTGCACTCGGCTTACTCCCGGTGAGGGAAATAAGATACTTTTTCTCTACATTTTTCATCTTTTTTTTCTCAAGTGCAATGTATAAACTAGTTTTTGTAGGCAAAGATTCTGAACTTAGCTAACTCTTGGGAATGATTCACTTCTAATAGAAAGTTTACTCCCGGTAGAGCAAATCAAATATTCTTTCATTTTTCAAGCCAGTTGTAACACTATTACATCAACTTATAAATGAAAAAACAAAATCTCTCTAAAAATACCATTATTGAACGATGATAATGTATATATATCAATGAATGAAAGACAATATGCTGCCTCGAGAAAGGAAAAATTTAATCGTCAGAAGATGGATATTTTCTCTATTTATGACGATAGCATGAAAAACAAAACGTGAAGAGATCAATCAAAGCAAAGAAGTTAAAGCAATATTGAAGTTATAAAAAGACAAATCCCTGTAAATAATTTGGAGCATGAAATGATGGAAAATACAAAAGTACAAGATAAAGGAGAATAAGAAAGAGCAGCATCATTGTAAAGTGTTAATAATATTGTGCATCAAGAATTTGAAAACTTACATGAAATAGTGTTGGCAGATTTGAATAAAGTAATAGATTTATCGTATGATGAAACACCATTGTTGAGAGAAACTATATCTACTTTGAGAGAACAGACAAACGACATAGAAGATTCAGTATCTGGTAGAATATCATTATCATCATTAAATGAAACTATATCTACTTGATAGAAGAAGTTGGATAGTTTTAAACAAAAATTAATCGTAGAGAGAATTTATACTGATTCTAAATTTTTAAAATTTGATACCATTTTTTTATATACGAGGTCTTGATGAAACATTGACGTGGTTGATTTAACTGCTTACTCATCCACTAACAATAGATACGAATACATTTTAACAATTATCGATATTTTCTCGAAATATGCCTGGGCTGTACCGGTAAAAACAAAAAATTGAAAAGATGTCACCGATTCTATGGAATCAATGTTATTACAGAAACGAGTGCCTTATAAATTACATGGAGATAGAGGCAAAGAATTTTATAATAAAGATTTTTAAACTCTTATGAAGCAATACAACATAAAAATGTATTCAACTTTCACTAATCTAAAGGCGTCTATATGTGAACGATTTAATCGTACATTAAGAAATGAAATGTGGAAACAATTTACTATACGTGGAAATTATAAATGGATTGATCTTTTACCTTTTCTAATCAAATCATATGATAATACAAATACATTGTACCATGAAGATGAAACCAAAAGATGTAACATTTATTAATGAAAAACAATTGCTTCAAAATATTAATAAAAAAAATTTTTATTCAGTAAATAAACGTCTAAAATTGAAATTTAAAATTGGAGATAAAGTTTGTATAAGTGAATATAGACATGCATTCGAAAAAGAATATCCACCCAATTGCACAGCTAAAATTTTCACCATTAAAACCGTTAAAAATACAAGACCTGTGACACATAAATTGAATAATTATCAATATCAGCCGATTTAGGGACGATTCTACACCGAGGAATTAACCAAAGACCAGTATCCAGATGTCTACCTTGTTGAAAAAGTGTTAAAAAAACAGCAAAATAATCTAAATAAAGAACATACAATTTGTATCAATAGATGCTCCTAATAAATAAAAAATGTCATAACACGTGGCCCAATTTTTTTAATGTTCTCTATTGATAGAAGATTTCTGGATATAATTCTCAAAAATTGGACCACGTGTTATGACATTCTTTTAAACTAGTTACTTTTTCAGATTAAGTGACAATTGAATGCACAAAAATTTATCGTAAATTCTCATCTACAAGATGACTTTTCATGTTATTTCAAGAAAATTCGAAAAAGTATTTTCTTACACAATTTATCGAAAGTAACGAGAAAAAAGTCTTAATTTTATAGATGACATAGCACTCCCTTTGATTTTAAACTTCTTTAGTATTTCGAAATTTTTTAAAAATAATTATTTAAAAATGAGAATTTGGTTATTTGCAGAGTCATTTGAGACGTGTACATGGCGCAAAGTTTTACTTTCATCCGATGATAACAGTTTCAGTAGGATACTTCAAACACTTGAAGAAAAATGCTGAATAAGATTCATGCTATCAAATGTTTTTTAATATTTTGATTAAACGTTCTATTTACAATTTCTTACGCACATCTATGTAATTTTTTTATTAAACAATTGATAAAAGCAATTTTATGGTTTCGCAATTACGGCAAGTTAAATTTGGCGCAATTTTATGATTTCAAATATTTTTTGCATGTAGAACAATTTGAAAATATCGGATTTTCAAACAACAGTGACGTGGCGCCGTTTTTTTTACAGATATCGAATGATATTTGTTTTTGGCGGATTTCACTCAATTTTTTCAATAATTTTTCATATTAGATTAGATAATATTGATATCATCAAAAAATTAAACGATATCGCGGAATTGTGGTAGTAACTTAACTCTATACGAAAGATCAATAGATAGCAATGAATATTTTTTATTCAAAATTTATTTTCATTCGTCGGTAACTTTAGTTTAGTTAATGCTCGTATTTACGGTAAAACAATTTAAATTTTTTGTGATGATCTCGAGTTCGATTATTTATTACAAATTCTATTAGTGTTAAACGTAGACGTTAGTTCAAATTTATTCCTTATTTTTAGCAATGACTACAGCAAGGCAAGTTGATTTGAGATAAGTTGAACGAAGTCGAAGTGATACCAATCTTTTCACACTGCAAATCCAAGTGTGTTATTCTTGTAGAGACTTTTGACGCGCTAAAATTGTTCAATGTTAAATGCCGTAATAAAACTATAGATTTTTCACACACGATGGAATGTGTAAGAACTGTCTAAAAATAATGTATAGTTTGTTTACAGACATTTCACATTAAATATGCTTCTTGTGTATTATTTTAACATGTTTGTTAACAAATTTAAATTAATTGCACAGATCCCGTTTTTAATTATTTATAACGAACTCAGTCGTCAATTGAAAAAACGTAGATTTACCTTATATGCATATGCTGGTAATATTAAAAGATAGATGTAAAATAACAATCCTACAAATGGTCGATCGATCCATCTACGCTGAAATACCAAATAAGACTGATAATCTAATACTATATGATATTTTTACGAAAAATATGCTTTACGGACCATGTGGAAGTTGGTGTATTGTACATGAAAAATGTTTTAAACATTAGCCTAAAGAATTGAGAGAAGATACTACTATGGACGAAAATTGTTATCTCCCTGGTAAAACAATCCAATAGAATCTGTCAGAATACTATTGAAACCCATATTCATTTTATGAGAATTAATAAGGTCTATCGGAATGTAGCGCAATCCTTATAAAAAAATTAATCAAAAAATTGAATCAATCAATTTTTATTCAAATCTCTCCTTTTATTTCCCATAGAAACTCTTTATTTTTTATAAAATCGCTCCGTCGAATGTCAATTAAGATATTTATTTGTGCTTATAATATTACATTGTTATCCATTACACCCTAAAAAACTTTGAGAACAATCCAAGAAATCAATGTCAGAAGATTTTACAATACGTTTTGGATCGATTTTACAAGAAAAAAGCACATTTGCATATAAATTCAATTCTATGTAACAAAGCATCCGACATATCAAATTTTCCATCTATGGAGAAATTACAGATTTAGACGATAAGAAGACGAAACTAGAGAACAAGACGATGAACGTGGAATTCAACAATATCAAAAATTGAATCAAAAACAAAAGTAAATCGTTCCTTACATATTAAGTATTATCGATACTAACAACAATAATACTATATCACATTGTATTTATATAGATGGACCTGGTGGATCTAGGAAAACATTCATTTATACAACCTTATGGTATTTGTTAAAATCTAAAAATAAAAAAGTTTTTACTACGGCATTTATAGGAATTGCTGCAACATTACTCTCAAATAGGAAGACTGTTCATAAAACTTTTGGTTTACCTGTACCTCTTTCTTCTGACTCATCATCTAACATTAAAAATAATTCTAAACAAAGTAATTATTTAAATAGTATTAATGTCTTTATATGGGACGGAGCACCAGTGTCGCCAAAATATGCTTTTGAAGTAACAGATCGAACTTTGTGTCATATAATAGATGACAATCTACCATTTGGTGGAATGATATTCATTTTAGGAGGAGACTTTCGACAACTATTGCCTGTAAAAAAATCAACAAGAAGTAAATTAGTGAATTTATCCATTAAACATAGTTATCATTGGCGACAATTTCATCAATTTACGTTAACCGAAAATATGCGAACGTTACCTTCAAAAGTTGCATTTACTAAATTTCTAATAAATATTGGTGAAGATATTTTGAATAAATCTCATAATAATTTAGATCTTTCAGTTGAATGTAGAATATTCAAATATGATAAAATAATTGAAAACATATGTGAAGAAATAATCACAGATGAATGTTATACTTAATTATCAACATGTGCTATACATGCAGCTAGAAATGGAGATATAGAAAAAATTAATACCGAGATATGAAATTATTAGATTACATTGAATCCACCCAATTTTTCACCTTATAAACTTTTGCTAAGAAAATGTTGTGTAGTTATGTTGCTCAAAAATCTTAATATTAGTGAAGGTTTATGTAACGGCACAAGATCAATGGTTTCGAAACTTGGACATAATCTTTTACAATGTAAAATATTGACTGGTGATAAATAAATAAGTTCATGAGAACATAAGTGGAAATGTTAGAACACATAACATAACGTTGAAACATGTTCTAGTTTATTAAAATATGATTTGAAACATTAGAACCCATATTCGACCATTTGAATATAAGTAAGTTCATTAGAACATACTTTGGATTATCAAAACATAATTCGATACGTTAGAACACATAATATAGCGTTAAAATATATTCTTGTTCATTAGAACATAATTTAGAACATTCGAACGACAATTAGAACGTAAAAAAAATTCTTAGAACGCATTCTCTATTATAAGAACATATACCGGAACATAAGAATACATATTCGACCATTCGAACATGAATAAGTTCGTTAGAATATATATTTGATCATTCAAACATAAGTTAGAACGTTTGATCGTATGATTCAACGTTAGAACATCTTGACGAACATTGAAACATAATTAAGTTTTTTTAAACATATGTGTTATGGTCAAAATATATGTATGAACTTTAAAACACATAATTTCTTATTGAACCATAAGTTGAATCGTTGATAGACATATTAAAACATTATTTTTTTCTTATTATGAGAACGTGATGCTTCCATCACACAATAAATGAAAATCATAATTAATTCTTAGTAAAATTACTAATTATTAACCCATTAACGCCGAAGAATCGTGTTTTTTTTTCTCATTTTCAAGCTAGATTCTTATCATCGAAAAAAAATCATTTGCAAATAAAAAATATGTTCCCTTGTACTTTCGAGTGTCCTCTTTCCGAATCCGGAGTCAAAATTAAGTTTTGTCCATTAGAAAAAAAAATATGGCCGCTTTTAAACAAAAAAAATCGAAGACATTTTTTTTTCAATATTTTTTTTCTCATTGAAGACGCTCAAGAAGACCCCCTTTTTCTTCAACCATGAGTGCACAAAATAGTTGTAGTTTAAGAATATATTTTTTTAATTTGTCGACATTGACATTTTCACCCCCAAAATGGCGCTTTTCATCCCTTCAGCAGGAAGACAATTTTCACTCTCGGTGCCCGACAAAAAAAATATTCAAATCTTAACGAAAATTGGAATCCCGGGGTTTTCAAGGTCGCTGATTACGATTCCGCCCTCAAAATTCAAAAATTCAAAATGGCGGATCCAATATGGCGGACCCAAATTCAAAAACTTACTTGAATCGGATGAAATGTGGCACTCGGGGGTTTTCGAGGTCCTTGATAACGAATCTGGCATCATCATTTCAAAATTCAAAATGGCGGATGCAATATGACGGACACCTTCCCATTAACGCCCAGTTATTATCTAACGTTTATTGAAGAATTGACAACTTCATATAAATGTAAATAATAATTATTCAATTGATTCACATTTTATGATCATATATTATATTTTTCATGTGTCGAATGAAATTGACGTTGCAGAGGCTGAGAAATCTCCGATTTTTTTACATTTCATCTTGTTTTTGTTTATACGGGTCATCATTGAATATTATCCCTGATACAAATATATTTATTATCCATAAATATTTCTGTCTGCAAATAAGTTTTGTATATGCCTATCACATCTTTTTTCAATTTTTCACGTTTGTGGAGTGTGGATCGTTCACATTGCTAATGATATTTTATTTTCTGTAAAAAATATTAGCTCAGAATTTTTGTGTTCATTTTAGGTCTGCCAATATTCCTCATCTGAGTAATTTGGTTTCTATTTTCGTGGAACTTGTCTTGAGACTAAATCGAACTCACTTATATACCTAAATTTCAGCTCAGTACCTCAACAAAATTTATTCATAAAATATTGTTTTATCATCTTTATTGCTCCTGAGTGAATTCACTTCTTCGATAATTCTTATCTCATCGGCAGCGTGAGCATATTGACAATATTACCATTATGTCTCGAAAACGACCAAGGCAATCTATTCCTTCTCATGTAGAGTTTGAAATGGATACTTCTGACGATAATTGTGACGAGCTCGTCGCGATTCCGAATCCAGACAATTCTGGTTGTTCTAGTGATTCCGATTCTGATTTTGAATCAAACGATCACCTTTCGAGTATCACTTATAAACAAGCATCGGAAAATTACACAGATAATCAATGTAAATTGGAAGGAGATCACCAATATAAGTGGATGGTTGGTGAAAAGAGCTACCCGGATGAGACTGAAGACAAATTATTACTAACTGACGGTGTAAAAAAAAATATTCAAAAAAGTGAGCCGATACAACTGTTTGAAAAGTTTTTCTGCATGGAAATGAAAACATACATTATTGACTCATGTAAAGAGAATGGGTTTGAATTGCAGTTGGATGATTTGAATACTTTCATTGACATCATCATTGTAAGCTCGTTCAATAAAAGAAAATCTCAAAGAGACTATTGGTCAACTGATCCCTTCTTATTATGTGAGGTGGTTTCTTCTGCAATGCAACGCGATACATTTGAGAAAATCAAATCAGAATTAAAGTATTTGATGCCTAAAGACAATGATCCCAGTGATAAGGCATGGCGCGTTCGTAAATTACTACAATTATTCCAGAGAAATATTCGTCAGTTTGGCTTGTGGAAGACTGCGTTATCTGTTGACGAAATGATGGCCAAATCATATGCAAGAACATCGCTAAAACAGTTTATCCGGGGAAAACCCATACGATTCGGACTAAAATTTTGGGGTCTCTGCACCGCCGATGGATACCTGTTGAATCTCGATTTATATTGTGGAAAAACCTCATCAATTGGAGATAAATTGGGTAAATGTGCTCTAGGTTCTCGTGTAGTGATGGAATTATTGGATCCATTTCTGAAATCTATCCCTCCTAAGAAGATATCTCAGTTCCATCTTTCCTGCGATAATTTTTTTACGAATTTCGATCTCCTAGTACATTTGAAAAAGTTAGGTTTACAATGTACAGGAACTATAAGAGAAAATCGAGTCAAAGAAAAAAATGTAATCGACAAAAAGTCTCCACGAGGTACGTATGTTGTGAAGCATGATCAAAACAGCGGAATAAACTACATAACTATCGTAGACTCGAAACCAGTTTCGATCGCTTCTACCGCTGCAGGGGTAACTCCTCTATTACCGTCTAAGAGATTTAGCTCGAGTGCACATTCAAAAATTGAGATTCCGTTTCCACAAGCATTTCATCTCTACAATAAATTCATGGGCGGAGTAGACGTGCACGATGGACATTGCAACAACTTGCTTCCAAGTATCCGTTCAAAAAAATGGACATGGGTCGTCTTTATTAGATTTATTCAGGCCGTCATTGTGAACCCAGTCGTGATTTTCAACGCAACTGGAGATAAAACAAAAAAAATTGGTTCAAAGCAATTCGCAATTTCGATTGCTAAATATTACTTAGAGAGGGGAAAACTAAAACGGAACAAAGCACACGATACTTTCCGTCACAGCAAACAAGCTCGTTGTTCAATCTGTCCAATAAGAACATATACGTACTGTAAGGACTGTAATGCTTATTTCTGTAGTGCTTGTATGAAAGCGAAACACGTAATCAGGCTTCGGGGATAAGCAAAGGGCGCATTTACAACCAAGCACCCCAAAAAGTGAGAGGCAAGAGGACTCACTCGAATCAAGCACCCCAAAAAGTGAGAGGCAAGGGGACTCACTCAAATCAAGCACCCCAAAGGAGAAAGGATTTCTACCACGTCCATGTCGTTTTCTCTGGGTGATGCTAAGAGTAGAGAAAGGAGTTATAAGTTTATCCGTTGAGTAATGCGGAGTGATGAATTTCTATAAATTTGTCAATTTATCAATATATAAAGTTGTCAATTCTTCAATAAACGTTAGATAATAACTGGGCGTTAATGGGAAGGTGTCCGTCATATTGCATCCGCCATTTTGAATTTTGAAATGATGATGCCAGATTCGTTATCAAGGACCTCGAAAACCCCCGAGTGCCACATTTCATCCGATTCAAGTAAGTTTTTGAATTTGGGTCCGCCATATTGGATCCGCCATTTTGAATTTTTGAATTTTGAGGGCGGAATCGTAATCAGCGACCTTGAAAACCCCGGGATTCCAATTTTCGTTAAGATTTGAATATTTTTTTTGTCGGGCACCGAGAGTGAAAATTGTCTTCCTGCTGAAGGGATGAAAAGCGCCATTTTGGGGGTGAAAATGTCAATGTCGACAAATTAAAAAAATATATTCTTAAACTACAACTATTTTGTGCACTCATGGTTAAAGAAAAAGGGGGTCTTCTTGAGCGTCTTCAATGAGAAAAAAAATATTGAAAAAAAAATGTCTTCGATTTTTTTTGTTTAAAAGCGGCCATATTTTTTTTTCTAATGGACAAAACTTAATTTTGACTCCGGATTCGGAAAGAGGACACTCGAAAGTACAAGGGAACATATTTTTTATTTGCAAATGATTTTTTTTCGATGATAAGAATCTAGCTTGAAAATGAGAAAAAAAAACACGATTCTTCGGCGTTAATGGGTTAATAATTAGTAATTTGAATAATTTAATTATTAATTACTTTTGTATTTAGTAATTTGGCAAAAGAAATTTCAAATTAATCCTGTGATTTGTGATTTAACCAAAAATTTCATTAATTATGAAAGAAATTTATAATTTGATCTACAAAATTACAAATTACTTCGTTAATTTGTAATTGGATCTAAGAAATTACAAATTACTGTATTAATTTGTAATGGGATCCACCAAATTACAAATTACATTATCAATTGATAATTTTATTGTCGATATTATCTATTACAGAAGTGGTTGATAATTTCTTTTTTCTGATTAACAATTTCCCAGTAATTGAGTAATATGTAATTAAAAATACTTTTTTTGACGATCCCTGAGAAAAACTAATATATTTTATCATGCTGTCTTATAATTTTTTAATTGCTTTTTACTAATAGTAGGAAGACAGAAAGAAAAAAAAAGTATGAATTCTGTTGAGCATGATAATGATTTTAAACAATAACAATGATATCTCGTAAACTATTAATCGTAGAGACGCTTATATGGGATTATTTTGTTCGTACAACGATTTTTTAAAAATGATATGTTAATGATCTACATTATTAAGAGTATTTATTATAACGAATAATGACAGAGATAAGCAAATATCCAAGTAAAAAATGCCATTACATAAACAATACTAACTTGAAATTTTTCATCATTAGGTTTAATTTCATGATGATTTTCGTTCAGACAGTCGAACAGTTTGTTGATTCATAGACAAAATTCAATTGTTTCACTAAAATCTTCGTTCCCAAAATTGCTCTGATATGTCCTCAATCCTCTTGCCGTAGACATGCTCAACACCTATAATAATCAGATTTCATTATCACGTAATGTTATTATAAATTCTTTGATTTTGGTGAAAATGCACTGTATTAATATGTACTTGAACTGCTAGTCAGCTTCGCATCTTTAAAAAATTGTTTAATAATAAATGATGCGGGGTTATTTTGGAAATGATACGGTCATTGATTATCTTCAATCTTTCACCTTCATGAACCATGTTGAAATGTTCTCATTTTATGTAGGCTTCTTTGGATGGATTAATCTGAAAAAATTGTATAGAGAAGAAGTTTTTTACTGCATGGTCGTGTTACTATATACAGGAAAAAGAAAACTAAAACAGGTTATATACTAACCTTCAACGACTTCTTATCGTACAGACGATTCTTGACTGTTTTTATTAAACGTGGAGTGTCGGCAAGTACATATACCTTGTAATTTTTATCAAATGGATGTTGAAAATGGGACTTTGACTTCTCCATTGCTCCACTGACAACGGCTTCACTCAGAAATTTTCTATTAGGTGACGCGCTATCAGTTATAGCACCCCAGATTTTTGCTCCATTATTTATTAACAATATTATCGCTATGATAATTAATTGCGACAGCACAATCCCGGATGCTCGGCCATGCGATGCGAAAACACCAATTGGCTGAGTAAATAAGTCAGGAAATGACTGAAACATGAACACTTACCCATTGTTGCGAGAGGTTAAATGCAAACTGTCAGTTGGACTCACTCTCGTCCCAGCTCGTGCTCAGTCGAGCTCACCTAATCCGCTCGCCCTATCCTAGCTCTTGTTTCAGCGCTCGGCGAATCCTAGCTCTTCTTCTCCAATCTAGCCAATGACAGTTGCTCTATCATTGTGCTAGGTCTACCGACGCCGGCTACAACGTGTTTGCAGCCATTAACGCTCAAGCGAAGCTCAAGTACACGTGCTCGATTATTGCTCGTTCCTATTTTGCAAATCCTAATCATTTCAAGCTCTTGATAAATTCAATTCTGTTAAAGTAAAGTTCAGTTAAGCTTGTAAATTGTTAACTTAATGAATAATTTTTTTTTGTAATCAAAATCCAAATTAAGCTCAAGAAAAGAGTCTTTCGTGTGAGTGCACCTCTCCTGACCACATCCTACGGCGTAGCTCATTAGTTATCGATCTTTTGGCTCTAAATAATTGAAATAAATTAACTCAAGCAAAAATTTTCAGTTCTTGTAAAACACTCATGATTAGCTGTTTCTTAATGTTCCATTTTCTTATTTTCATCTCCAAAATCCTCATATCTAACAAATTTCAGATTTATTGGATCTACTGAGATGCTTTTCCGTAGACCGATTTCATCTATTAACAATAGCCCATTTTTGCTTGCCTTTTTACCAATAAAAATTTTGAATAATAATTGAAAGAATTTTTCATCGAATCCGCAATCAATTGTAACACTTGGTAGTTGTCTGTAAAACAATGAAAAGAATATCGTTGGTGTTGTTTACATGTATTTGTCATTTAATATAGATGATCGACATACTCCCTTATTGTACTCGGGCATGGTAATGGTAATACATTATTTTCTTGGATGAATCGATACGTAGTTGGAGATTTCATGTGCATGAGAATACATAAATATATCCAATGCTCTGAGTACCTTCTACCATTTTTAATATTACAGTCGGAAGTGTTAGAAATTTCACTGATAACGTTCGTATTATTTTGGTTGTTGTGCATTTTTTTATTATTTTTTTTTTATTGTTGCATTTGAGCCATCATATTGGCTTAATCCACTCGCTTCATTTTCAAACTATTGCTACTAGCAGTACATATAGGGAAATTTCTTTTTTTTACGACTTAAGTTACTAACTTTTATCGATAGAAACGTATACATAATTGTTAAAAACTTACCACTCCTAATACGTTGCCATCTTGGTCTTTTAATTTTTTTTCAAAAGAACTTCTTCTTTTCGAAAACGCTCAATGCAGACTCGATGATTTGCCTCCAATTCTCGTCGACGCATCGCAATCTGCCATTGTTTCCGCAGATTGATATCTTTTAGCATATGGAACAAAATACTCTTTTCATGATTCACTTTATATCCAGATTTGCACCTCGAAACAACATAATATGTCATACTGATATTAATGCTATAACTTTCGCAATTATTTACTCCACTTACAATCGGTTTAATATGGAAACTAAGTGAACACTGTTTTTATAAATTTGGGTCGTACAGAATGATGCTTTACTATATAAGTAAATAATCAATGTTTCAAATATTCAGGCCATTGATATGTACTTTCCAGGTCCATAGATATTTTTTTTAAGGGCGTTATCTGGAAAACTGTTAGGTCGATTGGCTAATTTTGACTACCCACCAAGTCATGGAACATGCCGAGTACATGCAATTTGCATTATATAGGCATGGAAATCCTCCAAGAATTCCATCCTACAAGGTGAAATTAGTGTAGTTTACTAAATATTTTAAGAAATTGGTATCCACCCTACTAATTAAGACATTGGCTGAATCGCCAACAATTCAATTGTGAGATGAAACGGAATAATGAATTAGTGTTGACAAACTTTTAGAAGAAACCAAATACGGCAATAAAATTAGTGGATTTCTACATTCCTATCTCGAAAGGTCAATGGTTATTGTGACTTTACATAAAATTAAATTTGTTCGCAAAGCTATAATAGTTAGAAGAATTCCATGTCTTTTACAATACTATTGTTGATTTGTGAGGTAGATGCAGTTAACAATCATAGGATTTATTAGAAAGCTGCAATTGAATCTAAGAAGAATAACACTAAATCCAAGTATTTAAACGTTTTAGTACTCGAAGAAAAGGTACAAAGTAATTTTGCCGTGAGCTCCAAGGATTCGGAACAGTCTCTCTGCAAAAAACATGCAGATATGTTCCCTCATGTTCTAAGCATCAAAAATTTTTGTTCTCTAATAAACAAAACTAGCGAAGATATAAATTTTTGAATTCCTCTAAATCACGCTCTGGGACCTTTGTGAGCAAGTTGATGCTCTCAAGAATTGTCTTTCGACATGAAAAATATTGAATAATTAATTTATCTACCCTATATTGTTAATTGAGTCATTTGAAATATTATTGTCAATTTTCATTTCTTAATCAACAAAACTATCGAAAATATAAATTTTTAAATTTCTAGAAATCACGCTTTGGGACCTTCACAATACAGGAAATATTATTCAACGCATGCTAGCTACATTTAAATTGAATTTCGTCTAG